AATTAAAAAACAACAATTACCCTAGCAAATTTGTCGAAAAACATTTTTATAAACCAAAATCTCCACCTCTAAATAACACCCCTGATCAATCAAAAAAACTTTACTGCTCCCTCCCCTACAGCTACGGCTCTGAACGCATCGCCAGAGTCCTAAAGAGATACAACATCATAACTACCTATCAATCATCTTTAAATTTAAAAAAGGCCTTACGCCATCCAGACACTAAACAAATTAACAAAATGGAAAACAAAATCAACGTAATTTACAAAATACCTTGTAACAATTGCCAAGCTAATTATATAGGTGAAACCAGCAAACCACTTAAAGATCGTTTAAATCAACACAAATCAGGACTAAGGAATTACAACCCACTGTCTCTCCTTGTAGATCATGCACTGAAAAACAACCAAACTCCGGATTTCGAAAATACCACTATTTTATACCAGAACATTAAAGAAAAACACTGCCGATTGTTCTTAGAAAGCTGGGCCTCTGCAGAAGACAAAGAAAGCATAAATAGGAAAATTGATTTACCAGACATCTACACACCATTTAGATCTTCTTAATTTTTTTGTCTAATTATTTTAATTTCAATTAGTTAATTTTTATTTTTAAATTGACTTATTTTATACTTTTTTAAAGGGAGAGGTGCCGTTTTTTTAAATTACATAACTTTGCTTTATTTATTTTTTTTTCTGCTTTAATGAATTTTTAAATTTTGTTGTAATACCCGCGATTTCTTAAATTATATTTTCACACATTAGTAATAACCTGTAATTAATACATACCACTTGTTTAATTATTTTTACATTTATCGCTTTAAAACACAAAAGTATTGATACATCAAATATATAACATATCACATGCAAAACACTTCGTTCTCTTTTTATGCGGTTTTTTTTATGCGGTTTTGGAATTATGCGGTGCAAGAAAAAAAATTTATTCGAATTTCGAAAATTTTTTTTTGGTGATTCACTTTTTCTGAAAACGAATAAGAATAACAACTACAACTCTACTATTACGCAATCAATACAAAGAAAGAATTTTGTAACGTCCTGGTTGTATGTTAAGTTATCCAACAAACAGTAGAGGGGAAGTTCCAATGTCTTTTATTCCGCGCCTGCCGGTGTCTTACACAACTCGTGCAAAACCGAAATCAAAACTGAAAACCCACCGGCGTGCCAGCTGCCGTTACAAATTTCTTTTTTCTTTTATTGACATGTTTTCTCTTGATTTGTTCTTAAAAACAAAAGAGACGAAAACAAAAATACCTCGTTAAAATTGCGTGCTTTTATGCTGCATTTTGTTTTTGTATGAAACTAATTAAAAAAGCCTGCATATTGGAAAGCATTAGAAAATAAAACTTTGTGAAAGAAGGTTACTACCGAAAACCGGAAGATAAATTTACTCAAGTGAATTGTAAGTTTTTTTGAATAATTTTAGTGCGTAATTGTACATTAAGTTTTTTCTATAATTTTTAGTCCTCTTAAAGAAAATGTGTGACAATAATAAAAAACAAAAAAGAAGTGCAAATTTGCTAGAAACCAAAATTATAATTCTCGATTGCTTGGCGAAAGGAGAAAGATCAACAGCAATAGGTAAACGTTATAATTTAGGCGAATCTACTATAAGAGCAATAAAAAAAATGAAGCGGCAATAAGAATATCAGTCAGATCTGGTACAAATTTGAGTTCTAAAATTTCATCATATTCAAGAGGCACTTTAATAGAAAAAACAGAAAAGGCTCTCGTAATTTGGATTGAAGATTTAACTCAAAAAAGAATTCCGTTAGATGGACATTTAATCAAGATGAAAGCCCTTAAATTTTACAAGGAGTTAAAAGAATCAGAGCCATCTACATCTTCACGTGAAAGTAATCCACAATTCTCTGCCAGCACAGGGTGGTTAACTGGTTTTATAAAAAGACATTCTTTTCATAATCTAAAAATAAAAGGTGAGGTGGCTTCTGCAGATGAAGAAGCTGCTAGAAAATATCCTGAAAAGTTGGCTAAAATTATTAAAGATGGAGGATATTGTGCCCATCAAATCTTCAATGCTGATGAAACAGGATTGTTTTGGAAAAAAATGCCAACCCGTACTTACATTGCAAAGTCCGAAAAAAATGCCAGTGGTTTTAAAGCTGCTAAAGATCGAGTTACTTTATTGCTGTGCAGCAATGCATCTGGCGATCGAATGTTAAAACCGCTGCTTGTAAATCGATCTTTAAAACCACGTGCATTAAAAGGAAAAGACTTAAATACACTGCCCGTACATTGGATGGCAAACAAGAAGGCCTGGGTAACAACGGCTATTTTCACTGAATGGTTCAATAAATGCTTCGTACCCGAAGTAGAAAATTATATGAAAGAGATGGGTCTCGAATTTAAGATCTTATTAATTCTTGACAATGCACCAGGTGCACCATATAAAGGTAGTTTTTTTCCCTCCAAACACAACGAGCCTAATTCAACCATTAGATCAGGGAATTATTTCAACATTTAAAAAATATTATGTAAAATTCACTTTCCAATTCATTTTCGATAAACTGGAATCCGATACAATAACAGTTACTGAAGTTTGGAAACAATTTAATATCTTGAACTGTGTAGATCATGTTGTGTTAGCAATTGCCGAGATAAAATCACAAACTTTAAATGCATGTTGGAAAGCTGCTTGGCCTGAATGCGTATCAAAGAGAAATGAATCAAATAGAACAACAATAGTAACATCAGATGTTATTTCAATTGCTAAGGAAATAGGTGGGGAAGGTTTTGATGATTTTGGCGAGCATGATATAGAAGAATTGCTTGTGGACGAAGCCCTAAATGATGATGATATTTTGGAAAGTATGGTAGATACTACTAAAGATTTCGAAACAGTGTGTAGATAGCGAACTGGAAGATGTTACTCCACTGGACGAAAAATTACTTCGGGAAGGCCTTCAACTTTCCGGTAAATTGGAAAATTTTTTTATTCAAAATGATAATGATGTAGAACGCGCCTTAAAATTCCAACGTGATCTGAAATTTTGTATGTCTGGCTACAGAGAACTCTACAAAGAACTAGTCAAGCCATCACAGCGTTTGATTACTGACTACCTTGTCAAAGAAAAAAAAATCACTAAAGTTCATAAAGAAGCGTTACCATGTAGATCTGATGACGTAATTTTATCTTCAAGTGATGGAAGTGATCTTGCACCAATCCACAAACGGGTTCGCACATTATCAGACAGCGAATAATGATGAAAACATTCTTAATATGATTTTAAATAAAGTTTTATGTTTTTTTTTTACATATTAAGTTTTGTTTTTGTTATTAACACACATATGTGCCATTTATTAAAATATGATGAGAAAAAAATTAAATATTATTTATAAATCTTTTTTTATGCGATTTCTGGTGCATTTTAAAACATTATTTAGGTTTTATGCGATTTTTTAATAAATGGAACGTATCCATTATTTTACATATAAATGTATGTCTTTTTTTGTGCGATTATTTTTATGAGGATTCACCTGGAACGCATCTACCGCATAAAAAAAGAACCAAGTGTACTTTATACTTTTTTAGTTTCAACTTTTTTATTTATTTTTTTCTCATATATTCATCCTAAATTGTTTTAACTTCCATTTCAATGCATTTTTATAAAATATTTTTTACTTACATATAAATCGATCTCCATAAATTTTGAAATGAATTTTTAAATACCCACATTTTTTTGTTAAACCTTTTAAAAAAGTTCTTACAGTTTATTGTTTAAATCATTTTAAATTTAATTTCAAATGTTTTAATAGATACATATATTTCTACATTTATCTCTTAATGAATTATTAATGAATTATTTTTATGTACTTATTACAAATATTTTAAAATATAAAGATAGAACTCATATTTTTCCTTTATTATTTTAATATATTTTACATATTTGATTGCAATTTTTATAATAATTTTTTTTTTCATTCACAAATTTCTCCCACCTACTCTGTATTTTAATTGATTTCAACTGTGATATTATAACACTATGCGGCGCTGAGTTTGTGTATACAAAAATGTAATGCCTCGATAAAGGTTGGCGTTCAGCCAGCCGAAATATTGGCAAAATAAATATTTTATTAAATCCAATATATGCCTTTTTATTATCTAATGAATTAAATATGGATTGCTCTATTTTCAAAACAAATATAAATATATTTATATATTTTAAATGTATCAATATTTACCATTATCAATTTTGCTCTTGGAATGAGGTCCACAAAAAGCAATGAATTTTTCTGGAATAATCCAATTCAAATCCCCATTTTCAACTCTCTGAAACACAAAAGTAAAAATATTGTTCTTATAAAAATAATCAAAAACCCCATCTCAATTTTATCATTGAAAAAAGTGTAAAATACATTTGTAAAATGAAATATTTACCTTTGTTACGGCCCCACATACAATGTTTATATGATTCTATATATTATGATATTATTACAAAAGCTTTTTAGAAATCTTTTGTTTGTTTACAAAGCTTTCAAATAACAAAGCAGGTTGTCTATGGATACAGCTTAACATGACGTACTTTATTGCAAATAGTTGATAGTGGAGTTAAGAACAGGATAGACTGGTCTCCAAAATATGCCACCAGAAAAGGATTCGCCTATCATCAATAGCTAAATTAATCCTTGGCGTGTCAGCTCTTTTGGCACCATCTTTGTTGTTAAGCCACATTCACGCTCATTCCAATGTCCACTTCCACAGAGCAGCCACCAATTTGGCCTGGCCAACTCCAGGGCACCTCCCACCTTCAGTCCAATTGATGCTATCCACTGGTATTCGCCCCTGGGACTTTCCAGTGCCTTCTTGCCAAGAGACCTTCTCGCTTTCGAACTGTTGTTACCAGACTGCTCAATGCTGAACTGCTGTGGCCAGACATTTTTATTTAACCCTGGCTCTGACACATTGCTTGTAATTTCTGTGTCAAGACATTGTCTTTGAACTTCCACAGAGTGTCCTGTTCAGTTGGGTAGCCAGCTTTACCTACGGTGGAAGGCTGGTTAAACCGTTTGGTTTACGACCACAACGACCCGGGTTCGATCCCCGCACTGGACACTTTTTTTCTGTTTAAAAAAAAAAAATGCTCCAATGGCCCCCCGATTCTTGCAAAAGTCCAACCCCACCAGCGAGTGCAAGTAACCAAACGGGGCTCTGGCACATTTGTAAGTGCAAAGTCGAACTGCTTTCACATGTGTAGACATGTGGTGCGCTTACAGTAAAAAGCAGTCGCTAACTACCCACCATGATTATCATGGCCTGTACCACGTGTACTAGGGATAAGCAAAAAAAAAAAAAAAAAAAAAAAAAAAACCTTTGTTGTGTTTGTCCATCCTGTCATGTCACACTTCCATGGCGCATCCAGCTACATCCTGTCAAGTTGGATTACAACTTAAGTCTTCGACAGTTTGGCACCATTGCAGAAGTTCATGACACTGTTGCATGACAGCTCAATAAGATCACTGATCTATTCACAGAGCAATTCAGAAGGGATGGGGGAGTTTTTATTTTTGCAGGGCACATGATCTGAATGGCCCTCTCTCTGTCTGCTAGACTTGATTAAAAGTGTCATAGCCATTGTCAGGGGTGATCATTTCGCTCTCCTCTGCTACACAACCAGTCTGTATTATTTTCTTCTCTGTGCCACTATTCCAGAATCTATCGCTCTATCTAGCATCTGTAGAGCATTCAACAACTTGAAAAGTTTGGCCTTTTGAGAATCCTGCCAACAGGTTACAATCTATTTCAGAACTGCAAATTATTGCTTTATTATTCCAATGATTTCTTCCTTATATATATATATAAATGCCAAATGTTACTAAGAGAGATCTTTCATCGCTGAGAAGAGAGCTCGAATGAATTCTGACAGTTCTGCCGCCATTTTCTGGTTTCACTGAACAGAAGGGTTCCTGAATACTTTTTTAGTTTTCAATAAAAGCTAAGCTGCATCCCACTTGTGGCTCCAAGTTGCTATGATGGCTCTCCAGTTCTCGCTTGTTTGCATACAAGTCTTTTAAATAACAAAGCAGATTATCTGTGAATACAGCTTAGTACGATGTAAGATATCACATGCAGTTAATAGTGGACTTAAGAAATGCATAGACTTGACTCCAAAGTTAGAAACCAGAAGGATCCTATCATCAACGGCCAACTAGTCCTCTGTGGGTCAGCTCCCTTGGCACCATCTTCTCGATTAATCCACACAGTCGTACTCATTCTGTTGTCCACTTCCACAGAGCAGTTGCCAGTCAGCCTGGTCAGCTTCAGGCCACCTCCTGCTTTCAGGTTAACAGCTGCTATTCACTGCAAATTTTGTCTCCAGGGCACTACAGCACTTTTTTGCAAAGAGACCTTGTTGCTGTCAAACTGCTGTCACCAGACTGCTTGCTGTTGAACTGCTGTCACCAGACTTATTTTTCTTCAATCCCATGATTACTTACCCGATTCTTTTTTTGGAAATATAAATGTCTACATCAACCAATTTTTTTATTTGGTCCCAACGTTTCAGTGACTTGCTGTCACTCTCCTCAGGGAAGAGTGACAGTGAGTCACTGAAATGTTGAGAACTGAATTTTAAAAATTGGTTGGTGTAGTGCGCCATATATTTTCCAAACAAACTTCCAACCACCAAATGATCCCCCATGCTGTCTGCCCCAACCCTTGTTGGTTCTGAAGGCTTATCTCACCTTGAAGTGGTGCCACCTTGCTGGAGGCAATATAGCATGTCCTTGTTTATCCCTTTAGCTCTTATAATTAAAGAGCCTGGTGTAACATCTATATAAATACTAATATAGATCTTATTTTATTTGACACCTCTTGAAGTAATATGTAATACTACAAGATATATATAAAATAATAAATTCCCTACGGTTTTGAAACAAGATAACAGAATTTATTCAAATTAAAAGTTTAAATCAACAATTAGTTGATCTTTATTCTGAAAGATGACATTTTAGCATCAATCTGAGAACTTGCGAACAGGAATAGTTCAGAAGGGCACGCGGGAGGAAACAAGTCTGTTGACAGCAGTTCAACCTCAAGGAGTCTGGTCAAGAAGATGCCCCTGTGGATAGCCACTGTTGGCCTGACCATGAATGGGTTCAGCAGCTTGCCAGTCTGTGTTGGCAACTAGACTGTACAGAGCAGAATACTCTATGGGAAGTGGACATCGGAACAATGTGTCAGTCAACAGCAGCAGCAGGGCAGCCTACTGTGTGATCCAGGCTGGACTTGGACATGAATGTGTAGAGCAAGACACTTCACAAGAGCGACGTACACTGTGTCAATGATTCTTTTGACAGCAGAGGTTGGAAGCAAGTCCCACTTATTGTATTCTTTCCATTTCATGCTGATTTCTGAAAAGCCTTAGTTCTAGCTGGATCCCTTTGCAAACTCACGTCTTTGTACCATTTTGAACAGACAAAAGTGCACAAGTGGCATTGGGTACTGATGCAACAATATACATATAAATGTACTTATTCAAATTCTTCTTGAAATAACAATTTCTTGAATTTTCAGGAAACTCAAGGACTAGCCTTTTTTGTTGAAATCAACATGAAGTTGATTTTTAAAAATATCAAATTTGTTTTAAACTTTCTGTTCCTTGTGAAAAAGGCAACAGTGTATTGCTGAAACTTTGGGTAATAAATTTGATGTTTGATATGTCTATCTTTATAAAAGGCCAATCTACGATAATGATATTCTCTATAATCAGTAAATGTTTTGCATTTTATAAAAAAAAAAACTGCCATCAATTTTCATATGAAAATAGCATTACTGCATGATGATTTATGTCATTGGAGATGGAAGCCATAACACAAGGCATATTCTGGTAGACCAAGAGATGATTAAGAGAAGATATGATTTAGAAAGTGCTGCCAGAGTGACGTCAGCACACGTGGATCGGCTTATCCTTCAACAAGCAGTGGCAGACCTACATGCCACTTGTACCTCCATTTTTCAAAATGCGTAAGACAACTTAGATCATTCCATCTAGATCAGGACCATTTCCCGTCGATTAGCAGCTAATTGGCTTGCAATATTATCATTATTAGGTAAAAGAAGACTGTCTTTGACCCCACTGAATAGATGCTGTTTGGAATGGTGTCAAGTTATATTGGTATGGATGACGGAATGGTACAGGGCTATCTTCTTAGATGAGTTTTTTTGTTTATCCAGTGATAGTGGTCATGTATGCGTGCGGCGTTGACCTGGAGAAAGGTCTAATTCGACAGCCTTTGTGGAATGCACTACCACGCAACAATGCAGAATTGTGGCTTGGGCGCGATTATGTATAACACCAGGTCACCTTTAGTACATATTCTGCGCTATGATTTCCCAACGATACGTTGACAATGTGCTGCAACCTGTGACTCTCCCCTACTTTCAGGGGTACCCAATTGAAAGGGAATGGAGTGCCATCCATCAGGACACCATCTGTAGTCTGATTGACTCTCTACCTATATGTGTTGCTGCGTGCGTCGCCGTCTGAGGTAGTCCTACTTACTACTGAGTCGACTTCATTCTCATTTTGAAATAAAGATCACTTTTTGTTTGTTCCTGTCTCTCTCTGTTTGCCAAGTTTCATTATTTTCTGGCTCCTCTTTCCTAGTATTCCATTTTCAATGTCACGCAGTGTATGTGAAACCCATCAAAATTGGACACATATTGATATTGAATTTTTGAATTGATAAATGCTAAGTATTTATCATTTTAGAAATTGTACAGCACATATAATTTTTGAAGATTCAAAAGTTAAAAGTTAAATTTTTGCCACTCAAATATCCCTGAAAAATGTGTGATCTCTCTCAAGAGGAAAAAAGTTTTTAAAAAGTAGTTTAATAAAAGTTTAAAAATAAAATTATTAATCATATAATAGATTTACAATATGAATATTTATACTAATTGAGAATTTTTTTTGTCCTCTTAACATTTTAATTAATAATAAAATATATTTTATAGATTAGAACCTCTAATACCACTGACTATAATTCAACACTAAACATTATTCAACTATTTTTTCAGATCACATCAAATATGATTTACACATAATCAACTCTAATACAATCTCCATTTTAACTCAAAAGGAAACACTGTGTTGTCACTTGGGTTTTGAATTAAAGATGTTTGAAAATGTATACATGTATATATATAATATAAATGTTTATATATAATATTTTACCTCATAGTGTTCATATTCTTCAATATTAAATGTGTTGAAATTCAAAAAGCCATGGTTCAATGCTTTATATATTGCATTCAGGCAGTCTATTATTTGGAGATTGTATGTTGATGGTCCAAGTGAAGCATCCCTGAAAACCAACAACAAAATTTATTACAACAAATTTAGTTAGAATTTAAAGAGAGAATGTGAGGAAATATGTACATAATGTGTGTGATATAGCCACAGAGTTAAACAGATGTTCCAAGATGATGCTGGAAGCCCTGCCAGGTGAGATTAGAGATTATCAACTAAATGGACAATCAGAGAATTTGAAGCACAAGGTATATTACCTTGAAGGGTCTGAATGCTTATCCTTTATATTCTAATAGTGCCCATTTTCTGGAGATGTTATTTAGAGTGACAGAGTGCTGTACACAAATGTGCCAGAGCCCCGTTTGGTTACTTGCACTCGCTGGTGGGGTTGGACTTTTGCAAGAATCGGGGACCATTTGAGCTTTTTTTTTTAAATCAGAAAAAAGTGCCCAATGCGGGAATCGAAGCCGGGTCGTAGTGGTCGAAAACCAACGGTTTAGAACATCCTTCCACCGACCCCCATAATTATATATTAAAATATATGAGTATTTTATCTCTCAATTCAAAACAAAATGAGGAAAGTGATATTTTGGAACTGTGTGAGAACTTTTATTTAAAAATGAGTGTAATTAGATAATAATATCCATATTCTGCGAAGAGGTGTTCAGCTGGCAAAGTAGCTACGCCAGATCTATAGCCAAAAATATATAGATGGAAATTTTGCTGATAGGATATTGATCTATAAAAATAGAGGTCACATCTCCCATCAAAATAGACATCAAAACTAAATACCATCTATTGA